GTAGGTACCTGACGAGCTCCAGTATGATGGGCCTCAGGAGATGCTTATACATTGTAAGTAGGTACCTGACGGGCTCCAGTATGATGGGCCTCAGGAGATGCTTACACACATGGTTGTTTGCAGCACTGTTCACAATAGCCACATCTGCAGCCAGACTGTATACCCATCAGCAGATGAATGGATAAAGGAAATACAGTATATACACACTGGAGTTCTGTTAAGCCACAAAGAAAGATAAAACTATGTCATGTGCTGGAAAATAGATGTAACTTGAGGTCATCCAATATAGAAGGACATGTGTTATATAATTTTTCACATCTGTGGAACCTAGAATTCCTTACTGATAAATAAAATCTCTCTCTCTCTCTCTCTCTCTCTCTCTCTCTCTCTCTCTCTCTCTCTCTCTCTCTCTCTCACACACACACACACACACACACAGTCCAAAACAACAAAATGGTGGACAGTACCTCACTCAGTTAGTCCTTTGTCCTCCACATACATGTATACATGTGCATTCTTAAATAAATAATGTAGATGAAAATGTGCTTTGATTCAATCCTTGCACATGCATACTGTGTTAGTTCAGTTTTTGTTACTGTGTTAAGACACCAACAAGAACAATTTAGAGGAGACGGGGTTTATTCTGGCCTACAGTTCCAGCGCCCATCATGATGGGGAAGTGATAGCAGCCAGGAGCATGAGGCCCGCTCCTCACATAGCATCAGCAGTCCCAAAGCAGAGAGCGGACAAGCAGTAGGGCCAGGTTATAAAACTTCAAAACCTGCCACAAGTGACATATGTCCATCAGCAGAACTCTCCTTCCTAAATGTCCCACACCTCTCAAACAGCATCACTAGACACATGAACCTGTGGGGGCCATTCATTCAGTGTAAAACCTATGGATATACAGATGAGAGAGAGGGAAGAAGAAAGGAGAAGGAAAAAGGGAAGGAAAATAGAAATGAAATAGTTACTATTGCCTAAATCCAGTCATAATTGAAATTTTAGAATGTTCAGTTCATTTTCTAGGAACTTCACAAGTGTAGTTGTTATTATGTTTAGCTATTTCATATATATATTCATATATTTTATTCATATATTTATATATATATATTTCATATATATTCAGAACTTTGTAATTTCTCAGAAGTACCATAGGAAATATTATTCAATAATTTGAAAATCATCTCAGGGAAGAACTTCTGAAATACTGATTTCTGTTAGTTTGGCAGTGATAACCAGCAAAACAACCTCTATTAGAGGGAGGGAAGAAACATGTCATTTGCCACCCAGATATGTGTGTGAGAGTCTCTTGGACTGTATGAATACACTCTCAGCGAAGAGACCACCGTGGATATACTCTCTGTAAAGCAACTGTTACTACTTGGATGCTTCCAACATGATTGTGCCTGTGCCTAGGTATTCAAGGGAGCAGGCGACTCGGCTGTGTGTTCTGTTTTGAATGTGTACTCAGTCTGGTCTGTGATTGTTTCCATCTTTCTTGTCTGCCCTGTAGCTTGTTATGGAGTTTTGTGGGGCTGGGTCCATCACAGACCTTGTGAAGAACACCAAAGGGAACACACTCAAAGAAGACTGGATTGCCTACATCTCCAGAGAAATCCTCAGGGTAAGAAAAGCAAAGTGTCTCATTCCTATCTCATGTGTCCATCTTCAACTGAATCCCAAGTGTGTTCTATACCAAGAGATAATTATCTATTTTGATAGCCAAGTATTGATTTTTTTTAAAAAGTAGTGTTTTCTACCTAAGAGCTTGCCTTGTGTGGTTGGAAAACACTTGAAACAAATTGCTGTATTCAGAATACACAGACTCCCCCTTGTCATTAATTCATAAATAATGCAGGATAATAGCTATACCATCCCAATATTATGAACATGACCTAAAGAAGAGGATATATATAGCTTATATGCAAACACTGCACCATTATAATATGAGGAACTTGAGCATGCTCATTCATATATATATATATATATATATATATATATATATATATGATTTCTTGAAACAAGGTTTCTTTATGTAGCCCTGGCTGTCCTGGTACTTGCTATATAGCCCAGGCTGGCCTTGAACCTGGAGGTCTTCCTGCCTCTGCCCCGTAAGTGCTAGGATTAAATGTGTGTACCATCACTGCCTGACTGCATGTTTGTATTTTATATAGAAGAGGGTTTGGTATTCTGGAATCAGTCTCCATATATACCCAAGGGTAACTGTAGTCTCTGAGTTTGTCTTTGTTGTTATTATAAGGCACCCAATAGTCCCTTTCCTTTGGCATTTAAAGGAAATAAGAGTGAAGGAGATGAGCGATGAGCCTGAACTGTTGTGTCTGTAGGCAGTGTGGGGAGAGGCTACAGATCAATACTAAAAGGACTGAGTGCTGGGTTCCAGAATCTTCAATGGACTTTGGCATTAGCTGTTAGAAACTCTTGGAATATTTATGAAGTGAGTCTTGATGCTTAATGTTATTTACAGCTGATTGCAAAGCTGCCTAATGAGCTCAGAGAAAGTTTCTAAATTGCTGTTTTTTAGCCACTAAATGGTTCCTTTCAGTGGTAAAACCATCCTGACAGCACAGAGGTTTTCAGGGCTTCATATTTAAAAGCTGCATGAGAGTTGAAAGGATGTCTTTCATTCCATGACCATAGTTTTTCTTTTCCTTCACCCCTAAATTACACACTTAAATTAACTGGCTGCATTGTTTATATTCCGTTTTTTAAAAATAAAGACTCTGAACGTAAACTGAAATTTTACTTCCTATTTCTCTGCTAAAGTCTGGTAACAAGTTAGTCATTTTTTTATTGTAACTAAATTTACTTTCTATATTTAAGATTCATAGAACACTACAAACTTAAAAACTGCCAACTAGAATTCCTAGAGAAATGTTTTAATTTCTCTTTCCTCATATATTTTAAGGAGCGTTCAATAAAACTTCCTTCACAAACCAGTGTACGGAAGGGAGTCTTATGGAAAGAGAGTCATACTTTTATAATTAATCATACTTGTCATTATTAAAATATCAGGTGCTTACTTTTTTATGGATATTACAGAAAACTGAGGCTGAAAGGGAAAAGCTGCTGTTCGGGCTCTGTGGTGACAGGCAGGGTAGAACAACAAGGACTGGACTACAGAGCTGCCTAGACACAGATTTGAGGAGCGTGATGAACTATTTATTCTATTTAAACACAGGCAAACCTTTTTTTGTGTGTCGTAGCTTTAGACTTGTGGCCTCCTGCTTTGACTTCCTGTGTGTTGTAGTTTTGGGGTAGAGCACCATGCTTAGCAGATGAGAGACTTCTCAAGTGGAGAAATCTGTGCTTTTAGCATAGTGTTATAGACATAAGATGTATACCAGGCATCAAAGATGATTTACCTGTTTTTGTATACCTGGGAGGAACAGTTTACCTCAAGTATAATGTGTTTGTTTTACCATTTTGTCACTCTTGACCCCAGAAACATTGAAGAAAAGACCAAGTTGCCGTTTCTCTAATCAGTGTGGTGCAAATGGCATCCTTTGAAGTCCTGCAGACTGTTTACTTCTCAGTGAGAGTCTTTAATAGGAACCTTCTCCACTCATGAACCATATACAATAAAAATTTTCTGAGGCAGAGTTTTAGTTCAAAACAAAGGAATGCCCCATGTTATATGTTGGTGTTTGTTTTAGGCATTGTGTTGATGTTGATAGAGAAAGCAGGGTACCAAGAAGGAGGTGAGGTCTCATGTAAAAGGCACCCCAGTGGGTCTTCTGGGTTCCCACACATTGTTGAAGGTAGCTGGTTTCTCTGTGAGAAAGCTTTTCCTCGCCCCTTAGTGGACATTCGAGAAGACTAGACCAGGCAAGGGCCCTAAGTCTGTAGACCACAGCTGTCAGAAGTCCTCTATTGGGCTAGTCTGCTGAATGGTGAGGGCCCCAAAGTTTACCACACAGCCATTCCTGCTCATTCACATTCTAAGCAACAATTTTCTCATCTTAGTAGAAAGCACTATGTCATACTGAAGACGAGAACTTAGGACTTTACGTTACCAATGTTGAGGGACAGTTTGCTCTTTGGCTACATGTAGTCAATTAAGATAGACTTAGAAGAAAACTGTTTCCTAGCTCAGAAACACTGTCCCAGTTGATTTAGAACAGGCTGTTTGCACAGTAAAATGGACCTGGAATCTTTCCAAAGGAGGGATGATTGTGGCCTTAGTTCAGGCTTGGCTACCAAAGTACTTGGTATAAGGGACATGTGTTCATGTTTGTTCTGAGTAACTATACTTCAAGATAGCAGTATTATGAGCTATTTTCTGAGTAGAAGCAGCAATGCTTGCACAGTATGGACTGGGAAACGGGCATGGTTTCCCACGCTTCCTGCTGGAAGTGTACAGGATCACACATAAGCCGTGACTCAGAAGACAGGCTGCTTATGTTTGTGGGGAGATGTGGAGGGTCAGAAGTAAGTTCATGCAGGTTACAAAGCAGAAGGGAACTGGAGCAGTAGAAGTAGGAATTCTGTAAAAGAAAGTGGCTTCATTTTGTTCTTTCAGTGCTTAATGTTATAGCATGCAGAGATGGAGGTGTGCTTCCTAATTAGACCACTGAAGGATCATATGTTGGGTGCTTTTCCCCCATCACAGCCTTAGGGCATACTACTATACCCTGTGTTATGAGAATAGATAAGTATCGCATAAGCTGTGTTCTGTTTAACTGGCAGATTAGTCAGTCAAATGAATTTAGAGCCCACCATGCTTCAAAAGGTAGTGATCTAGAGCTGCAGAATGATGGAAGTTAGGCTTGATAGCATAGCTGCGGTCCTAGCACTCAAAGCTAAGGCAGGAGGTTTTCAAGCTCAGAGTCAGGCTGGGTTGCATAGTAATGACTCTGCTTGCGGCCACCACCACAGCCCGTCTTTAATGTACATAAAGCAAGCCCCTTACAAGTAGTACTGAGGCATTTCAGAAAAAGTAGGTTGTTTGTATCTTAAGGAGGCACGTTCTGGGGTGTGGCTTCTCTAGCCAGGAAGAGGAAAGTCATGAGTGTGGCAGTGGTGCATAGCCGCCTTCACACCACAGTTGGGTACAGCATGTATTTTCCCACCGCCTCCTGAGAGATGTTGTTGGGCTCATTCTAGATACAAGGGCATCAAAAAGTGCTCCATGCCAGGAACATTTTCCCCTCCAGGGAAGAAAGACATTTTATCCCTATACAAGACTGGTCTGGTGGCAGAATTATTTTACATCTGGATGGAAGTAGGGTACATCAGCACTTAGGTTGTTCCTGTGTAGTGGGAAGACAGGCCTGCATTTTAAGCCCCTCTCTAATCTAGACCGGAACTAGCTCAGATAAATTCACAGGGTTACCCACTGAAAGATATAAGTTTGGCGTGGGAAAGGAGCTAGCCTGTACACAAATAGCACAAATTATAGCAGAGAAACTATAGATGGCAATCAACGCTTGTGTCATAGGCACAGCTAGAGAGTGGTGTGATCATCCTAGGGGGAACACCCAGCCCGCTGCTTACTGTGTGTGTGTGGCAAGGCTGACAGTGCCTTCCTGGGAATGTGCCATGGGTAAATTTTATGTTCTAAATGTGGATTTACACAACCTTGGCCCATGTGTGCCGCTTACTGTAAACGGGTGCTGCTGGCTGTCTGCTCACAGGGACTGAGAGCTGAACTCTGCTCTGCTTTCCATTCCAGGGCCTGGCACATCTCCACGTTCACCACGTTATTCACCGAGATATCAAGGGGCAGAATGTGCTGCTGACCGAGAATGCGGAGGTGAAACTTGGTACGTAGCTGATGTGTCTGAGGTCTGATGCACCCACCTGGTACAAGCCAGCAGCATGCCGTGCCCCTTCAACATTTAGCTAAAAGTTCATTCTATTAATGTTTGCCCCTCCCCCACTTTAAGACTAAGCGACCTGGCCTATTGCTTAGTCAGGAGCCAGCCTTCCTTGTCCCATGCTTCTGTAGACTCCTCTGTCTGGATAGAGCAACTAGCCAGAAGGTTTGAATTTTTTATTTTGATTAACTTTGAGGAAGGGGGACTGAGAGACTTCTCTTGTTGGGGTTTTATTGCTATGAAGAGACACCATGACTGACAACGCTTACAAAAGAAAACATTTAATTGGAGTTAGCTTACAATTCAGAGGTTTAGTCTGTTGTCACGTCACCGTAGTGGGAAGCATGGCAGCGTGCAGGCAGACATGGTGCTGGAAAGGTAGCTGAGATTATATTTGGATCCACAGGCAGTTTGAAGAAACAGTTATTAGGCCTGACTTGAGCTTCTGAAACCTCACAGCCAACCCCAGTGACACATGGCCACACCAACTCCAACAAGGCCAGACCTCCTAATAATGCCACTCCTATGGGCCTGTGGGGGCTGCTTTATGCAAACCACCACAAGGCCCAATCCCAGGAACTGATGACGGAGGTACACTTTCAGTCCTACGCTGGCATAAAAGTCAGACTTTCTTTCTTGCTTCAACAACACCCTTAGTGGTGTCTGGCATTGTATTCCTAGTACTTGAGAGGCTGAAACAGGAAGATTGTGAGTTTGAAACCAGCTTAAGGTATGAAGCTAGAAAGAGGGAAGGGGGCAGAGAGAGAGAGACACACACACACAGAGAAGCACATACCCCTAATGATTTCCTGTTTCACGTCACAAAATTTCACACTTCTTGCCCTGGCTTATGAATAGTGTGGGCCTGACCCCTGCTACTTTCCTGCCTGTTGTCTGACCCCCTTCACCTTTTCTACCCTATGTTCCGTGTTATAACATGGAAGCAATTTTATGAAGTTTTTATAGAATAAGGAAAATCATAATAAATAAAGTCATAAAAAGTAAATCAAGATGCTTTGAGATACAAAAGATCGGCGGAAGCATCAGCCACAGCCACCGCCATTTCCTTTCCTTTACTCTTAGACCGTGCCCAAACCCTTTGCATGTACTGCTCTCCCTTGGTAATACTTGTCTTCATGTTCAGACTTACCATTTTTCCCTGTTTTCAGGGGCTTTCTGTGGCCCTCTGACCTCCTTGGCCTCCTGCCTCCTTTCTGTAGCACTGTTGATAATTTATGATTCTGTTGAGAGTGTGTGGCATTTCTCAAAGAAAAGAAAGCTCTCTTCTTCACCAGAATACTCTGGAGTCCAGCGCCAGGGCTGTGTTAGTCCCTGCTGTCTTCGTCAGTGTTGTAGGTGTCTGACGGACGTCCTCATGGGTACTGTTTCCCAGAGGTGGCTTCTAACGATTTGCAGTGTTCCCTGTCTCTCTTAGCGACACCTGAACTTATTCTCATTTTATTTTTACTCTGTTAACATTTTAAAACAGAATCAGCATTAACTTTTCTTCTACTTTTCACATTATTTTTCCTTTGTCCACTCAACAATCTAGTCTCCCTTCTCCTCAAAAGTCTGAACCATGAAAGTTGCTTTTTAGAGTTCAGATCACTGCTCTCTTCCTTAGTGCCTGTGCTAACTGGCTCTCTGCAGATGCGCTGACATGTGGAAAGTCTGCCTAGGGCTAAGCTGGGACACTTGCTCTGCCCCTGCTCCGACTGACTTGGTTAGGTGTGCCCGTGCACTGACCTCATGGCACCGAGACTATGATACCCTTCAGTTGCTACCCAGTTATCGGTTGCTGTTGCTAGCCAGGGTTCTAGAACGCTTAATTAGTCTTTGTCCTGATTTTGTTGTCTTGTGTTGAGGAGCATTCAACAAGTAAGCCTGCAGTTTCCTGAACTTGTTCTGTACACAGAGGTGAAATGTGCAGCCCCTGCCAATTGTCCAGCATTTTGTAGACCTATTTGTGTGAGCTGCTCCTGTTCTCGACCCTCCTGCTGGCTCATGGCAGTGTGTGGGCTATGATGAAGAGGGCCAATACTGATGGGCAAACACCCAGCTTGTGGGCTTTCTGCCAGCCCTGCCTCCCGTCCTTTAACTTTTTTCTCGACCACCATCATTAAATTCGTGGGAAGTAAAAGTTACTCTGAAAAATCAACTGAAGGCCCAGTTGTTCTGGGGAATGTTTATTGTAAGTTTATATTCTCTCTCTCTCTCTCTTTCTCTGTGTGTGTGTGTGTGTGTGTGTGCATATACGAGTGTGCATATGATGTGTTAATGTGAAGGCAAATGCCACAACACACATGTGGAGGTCAGAATAACTGGAGCCTGTTCTTTCCATCCTTAGGCTCCAGGCGTGGACCTTAGGTTCCTAGGTTTGTACAGTGAGTTCCTTTAAGCTCCATACCTGCTGAGCCATCTCACAGGCCCCTTTGTGTCTTCATGTGTTAGCCTGGGGCCTGTATGCTGAATAAGCTCTGACAGTGGGGAAAGCAAGGATCTGGGAAACAACTCTTACAGACGGCTATTGCTAACCTGGAACCTTTCAGTGTGTTCTTTCCAAGAAAACCACAGTTGTGCATTGTGGAGCTAATCTAGGACGGGCTCTATGTCCATTCTCCTAAACTTGGGGCTTTCTTTAATTTGCACTTGTTTTGATGCACATATTTTTTAAGAAGTGCAAACATCATTATTGTCCCTGTAAGAAACAGGTCCTCTTTTGGTCTGGGGCCAGGCCTCTTAGGTTCTTCTGGAGTGGTACAGGCTCTTGGTGTCATGGCTCTGCCTGAACAGTTATGCAGTTGACAAAGCAGTGTTTTTGTGTTTGCTATGACACCTCAGCGTTTTTCTCTTCTTTGTTAATTGTGCTCCACTTTTCTTTGCTTTTTTTCCCTCAGTTGATTTTGGTGTGAGCGCTCAGCTGGACAGGACGGTTGGCCGGAGAAATACATTCATAGGCACACCCTACTGGATGGCTCCTGAGGTCATTGCCTGCGATGAGAACCCAGACGCTACTTATGACTACAGGGTAAGTGGCACCCACCTGTTCTCCTGGGCCATCCATGGGTCGCTAGCATTGCAGAGGACTGTTGATCTGTTGCTTCATTTGTGATCTCACTGAGATTACAAACAGCCAGCCAGGCACAGATCTCATGAGCCTGTCGATGCCCCTCCCCTAGCAGCCCTTTTATCTTGAAGAACACGTTAGAATCAGATACAGTTTCTTTTTAATATACCATCAAAATTTATAATAGCATCCTCTGAAATTTTATAGTATTTTTGTGTAACGAGTTTTATAACCTCTTAGTTATACAAATAAATTGAAGTGATTATACAGTGACCTCTAGGGACTTGAAACTATAATGCACCTTTTTTATCCAGACATAAAACCTGTGTTTAATAATCTCATTCAGGTTGACTATGTTGCTGTTTTATTTGTCAATAAACCAAAACATTTGCATTAGTGGTTATTGTACCTGTAAATGATGTTAAAACTGAGTTCATATTTCAGTTGTTACCCATGTAGCTCAGTATTTGTTTCAAATACCCAGTTAATGAGGATTAGTCTAAACCTTTGCTGCAGAGGAATTTTCTTTTGATTCAAGTATTTAGAAATATATTGCAGAGTTTATAATTTTCTATTATTAATATATAGCTAAAATTTGAAAACACCTTCCAACATTGTCAGAATAATATCATGCTGAAGTAAATGGCAAATATTTCCTGGCGCTGGGGAGGTAATGTTTCTTTGTTTCCCTGAAGGATGCATTTATTTCATTTGTATGCCTGTCCAGAAATATAAATAGGTATCTAGAACATTCTCTTTTTGTTTTTGCAGAGTGATCTTTGGTCTTGTGGCATCACAGCAATTGAGATGGCAGAAGGTGCCCCCCGTGAGTAACTTCTTCCTTTTGAGCTCACTTCTTCTGTATAACTTGATGACCTGTAAGAACCCAAGGGCCACTGGGCAGAACCAGTGGAGTGAGTGGATGAAGGGCACACCAACAAGAGTGGCTTTAGATGTAAAGTGAATTCTTGGTAACCAGTAATCCTCCTGGGCTCCAGATTTAATAAGGGCTATTTTTTCTTAATTGCATTTAAAAATATCATTTGGAACAGGTTCCTAATCTTTAAAATTTTGTTGTTTCTTATTTTGACTTTACAAATTGAGATACTGTCTTTTATTTATGGATTTTTTTTTGTGAAGATTTGAGTTTTCTTTTCCTTTGGTTAAATCAGTAAATTGATTGATCATGAAATTGATATTTAATTAAGGTTGTAATAGAAATGTAGAGAAAATAAGGAAAGAAAACATGTGTAGCATTTTCTCCTGGTCTGCTTCAGCAAGGTATGCACAAACTGTATAATGCCTCGTACATAGTGGTTGAATAAATATTTGTTGAATGAATGAAAAACTATTGGCCGTAAAGAAAGAGTTACAATGCAGAAACCGTGTCCTTGTGCATCTGTATGATATTGAGACAGGGGACCTATTGCTGGCTCATTTGCCTTAGTTTTCTTTCACACTGGGACACTGGTGTCTGCTTGTCTAGTCCCCACTCCACATTTATAAGTTTCTCCTAGAAACGTGTCTCATCTGCTGTGACATGCTAGTGTGCATGTCTGCTGAGTTTGCATTACTTGGATTGTGTGAATACAGACAGTAATCACAAAGACTGCTTACACTCAGCTGTGCTCTTCCTGATGACTCTAGCTGTAGTAGCAGACATATTGCGTGGAGGCTCTGAAGGCCTTCACAAGCCGCTTATGTGAAACCAGACTTATGGAAACAGCCAATTTCATTACAATCATAAAGGTGATTTAAAGACTTCAGTATTTTCTCCTTTTAAATTTGAATTAGTATTTGTGTTTGATTTATGAAAACTTTCCAGTGTCTATTTGAAGTTGTGAATTGTTGGTTTTCTCCTTATATTTTGCTATTTTTAAATGATAAATTCAAGATATGGCCTAGGGTTTGTAAAAAACATCTCAGCTGCTTGACATTCATGGCAGTTGAATAGTGGGATAGAGTATTTGAAATTATTTGTGAATGAATCCCGAAGTCAAGAATGAGTAAATTCGTGCCTTACTGACACAGCCGTCTCCTTTCCCCAGCTCTCTGTGACATGCATCCCATGAGAGCACTGTTTCTCATCCCTAGAAACCCTCCTCCCAGACTGAAGTCAAAAAAATGGTAAGCTGTATATGAATTTCCCTTCCTCCAAAACCCTCACCCCCAATAATTTCACTTTGCTCTGGGATAAAATTCTGGCCATTCTAATTTCAGTAACAAGAGTCAGCACCCCCAAACAATCTAAAGTGCATTTATTTCTTTGTGCTGTTGTTCTTGATACGTAGTTTGGATTACACACTTATGATTAGTGACACCTGAAAGCTCCATAATATAGAGAAAAGGTTATGTTTTAATGTTTAAACATCTTTTAACTGTGGTATGTCGCAGAACATTTTCCTACTAAAATGGCAAAGATGTGTTAGAAGTGCTATGGTAATAAGACTGTAATATTGATGGAAGATATTTGGGCCATGGTGCATGCTTGCAGGCCCCATGACTACAACAGGAACGTTTGAACGTGGGGGTTTGAAGCATCTAGATAATATTGCAAGACGGTGTCTGAAAAGGGGGCAGTTACTATAATGATGGTTTATAGAATGGCAGGTAGGCACACCTCTTTGTTGCAGAAGAGCTGGTTAGCAGAATGACCCTTTGCCACCGGGCAGCCAGCTCCCGTTCTCCTTGCTGCTTTCTGAGTTTGTTGTTCAGAATTCTGGCATTCACGGAGGGTGGGCATGATGACCGGCTGAGCAAAGCGTTTAGAATTGCAGCTTGTGAAGACATGTGCTTTGGTCAACTTTAAATCTTTAAGGGAGGGGCAGTGTCTTTTTTGGGAGAGGAGCTGAGAGTTTTGCCTAACTCCCTGTGAATGTTGTCTGGTAGTTCCTGTCTGCACTCAAGCACCCCATGCTTTCTGGCCCGGCTGTCTCCCCACCCCTACCTCTGTGCCCTCTGTGCATGCGGCCTGTTTAGTTGTGCCTCACTACTGTGCTTTCCATTTTCCTCTTGTTTAAAATCTTACTAATTTTCCAATTAATTAATGTTACTCCCTCTCAGGTTTTGTCACTCTCTCTGAAATACACACAAGGCCTCACAGTCAGTCCATCCATCTGGATTTGGTCTTTCAGTTTCTTCTGGCTGCTGTATTCTTGGTTGCCTGTCTTCTGAGCCATGCAGACTTTCTTTCCCTCAGCTGTAGGTGCACACACCATCCCTCCTATCTACTTTCTCCTTGTTTACTCTCCTGGTGCTCAACACATTTCACTTTCTTTCCCTTGCAAGATTTTTTTCCATTCTTTACACACCCTTTAACCTTTAAATCGATGCTAAGTAAAAGAATTGCCTAATTCTGTTAAACCAGTGTTTAGAGAGAGAGCTGAAGGACCACACAGTTGCAAAGATTTTGGCCCCGATTAGTTCCTTGTATTAATTAGTGAGAGATGATGATTCTGGGCATCATTGATAGCCAATGCCAGGACAGCAAATGTGTGTAGTGGGTGCTTCCCAGGGTTCAAGCTAAGGGGCTGGAGGAACTATTTAGCTTGTGCTAAACTAAGTGGTTTGTTTTCCTTTTTTTTTTTCCTTGTGAGATTTGATTAATGAGATTCTGTTCTGGGAGGATTACAAATCAGTATTCTGTATGAAGAATACCTCGCACTGTCTCCATTATATGTAAACTTTGGTTAACCATTTGCATGTAGCATATGCTAACAGAGACAGATGAGGAGTGATACCTCATGGGTTCTTAAGCCAAACTCTGTCTAACTAAATTAGGTAAAATACTACATTGATTCATTTACGCCACTATTTTCATCTTATCCAAGTATTTGAAAGTACAGTCGGCTTCTTCCTTTGTGATTTGACTTACTTCCCAGATGTAATCTCGGTTACTTTTCTGGAGAAATGCCTATCAGAGATGGCCAGTGGCTTATCTGCCAGAAGAATTCACTTACTGATTTTAAGGAATATACCATATCTGGTTGATTCCTAAGTGTTGTCTGGTGGACATGGTGCATAAGCATTTTTTAATTTAGGGAATGAGTCCCAAAATTTAGAATCTTGGTGTAGTGAGTCAGCACTTATTTCTTTAGTCAATTCCATGAATGATCTTAGTGAGTACAAGGTTTGGTAATCTGAGTCAGCACTTATTTCTTTAGTCAATTCCATGAATGATCTTAGTGAGTACAAGGTTTGGTAATCTGTGTATGCTGTACTATACATGTTACATAGACTGTCATGTTCCTCTTTAACCTTAGACCCTTCTGTGAAGTGATCCTGACCTGTCTTTGCATTCTCTTCTGCCTTTCATAATAGCCTCAGAAAGTGACTCTTTAGTCTCTGATACTTTTGCCCTTTTGTTCATGTTCTTATTGCCTGAATACAGTCTTCTTGTTCCCAATTCAGAATAACAATATTGTACCTTTGGTTTATGCTCAAACACTGACATAGTTTTATTTTTCTGCCTTTATATACCTGCTGTTGTGTATACTTAAATTCCCTCTACTTTATTTTACATGTATGTTTCTTACTGAGTCTAACAGAGATAGATGTACATATAAATATTGGTTAAACTGAAAAAATAGCTTGAAAATACACGATATAGAAAGGAAATTTCATCGAAGTGACATAATTAGAACTGAAGTAAATTTAAAGATCAATAGCTCATTCATTCAACAAAAATTTATTAAAATACTCTTTTGGTATGGTTAATGTTGAACATGACTGACGAGTTGAAAAATAAGAACCCATCTCAATATGAACCAAAGAAACAAAACTATAGTGTACAAACTTGACTTGCAGATATCTCCGGAGGAAGTGTTCTTAACTTGGGGTGGGGTGCTGCCAGGAAAGGCTTACCCAGAGACCGTCACAGAACTGAGTATCAGAATGACTTAACTTGGGCCAATGAGATTGCTCAGTGAATGAAGGAAGTTGTCTCCTTGTAAGGTCTAGAAACCTGAGTTTGATCTTCAGATCCTGTGTAAAGGTAGAAGGAGCAAAATAAATGAATTCATGGAGTTGTTCCCAACCTCCACACATGCATGCCACATGCGTATGACACACAACTCTCTCTCTCTCTCTCTGTCTCTGTCTCTCTACTTCACATATATTTTTAAAAGATTTTATTTATTTTGTATGCAGTGTTCTGCCTGCATATATTCCTATATGCCAGAAGAGAGCATCATATCTCATTATATATGGTTGTGAACTACCATGTGGCTGCTGGGAATTGAACTCAGGACCCCTGGAAGAGCAGCCAGTGCTCTTAACCTCTGAACCATCTCTCGCCCACATACATACATACATACATACATACATACATACATACATACACACACTTTTAAATGTTCCAACCAAAGGCAGGGCTAGGTATGAGTGTTCATGCACTGGGCCAGAAATGGCAAAAGGGCAAAGCTCAGAAAGTGACTAGTGGCACACATGTCGGCGACAAGTCATTGTGCCCTCGCCCAAAGTGAAAATCTGCTATTTCTGCCTTTGTTCATCAAGCAGTGGGATCTGATGAGTCAAACCAGTGCAGGACTGGATGGAGCATCAGTGGGTTCAAAATGCCCTGCACTTGCCCATTGAGGCAGACCCTCTGCTCATGTCTCTGTTCTTGTTTTCTAGATACCAGACAACTATCTTCATCTGTGCTCCTGCATGTGCTGTCCACTCAGTCCCATCTTCCATGTGTCTGTGTCCTCCCCCCTCCCTAGTGAAGCCCTTCCTCTGTTTATTCTCTTACCTTTTCTACCCCCCTGATGTGGTGGAAACTGAGTGACATTAGCCTTAGACTCTTCCTTTAAATCTGGCTTCTTTTACAACGGTTTCTGGTATATTGTTAGTGGTATACTGCAAGTGTAAAGCCACGTTAATGCCCCTGCCCCCTTGCCCTCAGTCCTGGGCTCCGTGTGTTCTCCCAGCACGGCTCCTTCTCAGGCTTCTCACTGCTGTTTTGGAGCTGTACTTTGGTAGAAGTCTGATGATGTGTTTCACTTCCTCTTACAGGTCAAAGAAATTTTTCAGCTTTATAGAAGGCTGCCTGGTGAAGAATTACATGCAGCGGCCCTCTACAGAGCAGCTTTTGAAACACCCTTTCATAAGGGACCAGCCCAATGAAAGGCAGGTTCGAATCCAGCTGAAGGATCATATAGACCGGACCAGGAAGAAGAGGGGGGAGAAAGGTATTATGGCTCTTTTATTTTCACTTTTTTCCTAACATAGCATTGAATAAAATTTAGAAGATTATAAACTAGTGTTAAAGGCTTCACCCTAACCTTTTCAGATACAGGGATTTTGTTGTTGTTATTGATCCTCCACTGCCTTCCCTGTCGTCCCTTTCCCTTTCCCATCCTCACATTTCTCTTTCCACTTTCCTACCGCATGTTCTTCTACCTTCCTGTATGTATACGTACGCTGCAAGCGTGAAGCCACAGTAAACGGCCATAACCCCCCTCGGGGTCTCCATCTGGCTTTGTGTCATACTCACACACTGACACACATATGTAAACATTGTAAGAGAGGGCCTCCTGTAAGATGCTTGTCACTGCAACTCCTAAGACTACTGTGCTCTGTCGGTCGCTGTGACTCTGAAGTGTCATTTGCGATCGGATATTAAGGTGTCTTTCTGTTAGGATTTATTTGGCTACTCAGAATCTTCTGTTTCATATGGATTTTTGGGTTATTTTTTAAGCACAGGAAGGTTTTCTTATGTAATGTTGTCCTCAAGTGACTTAAAGTTTTCATAGTAAAGGCCTTTCACTTCCTTGGCCAGGGTTATTCCTGTATACTTTTATTTCTTCTTACAAAGTTTACTGTTGGTATATAGAAAAGCTACTGGGGTTTGTATGTTCAATTTTGTATCCTTAAGTTAATGAAAGGGGATCATCAGATCTGAGAGTTTCAAAGTGGGATCTGTAGAATCTTTTAAGTATGGAGTCATGGTGTCTGAGATTAGCAATACCTTCACCTTTTTCTTATTTTTATTCTTTTTATATCTTACTGCTTTAGTTTTGTGGGACTTGTAGTACTATATTAGTGTCTAATTATAGATTTTAGATGCTATGTTCATTTTCCCCCATCTAGTACCTCTGGACATGTTAACTATAGGTTTGTCATTTATAGTCTTTACTACTTTTGAAGTGTCTTCTTACGTTCTGTGTTCCTAATTTCTTCAGGGCCTCATCCATCCGTCCGTCCATCCATCCATCCATCCATTTATGGTGGGACTTCACTATAGCTCATGCTGCATATTTGTTTTGTCTTAGCCTTCCACGTGCTGGAATTATAGGTGTGATCCATAATGCCAGACTCTGGGATTTTTCTCATGTCAACACATGTAACTTTGTCCAATGCCTTTTCTGCGTTGAACTGTGTCCTGAAGTTTATTTATATCATGTATTGCATTTGTTGTTGTGCACAGCTCTGCATCCCTGAGATGAAAACACTTTGGTTCTGGTATATAGTCTTAATATATTCTTGAATACAGTTTGCAAGTATTTTATTGAGAATTTTTCACTCAATGTTCATTAGAAAAATTGGTTTTTAATGTTCTTTTCTTATTAATCTTTGTTCAGTTTTGCTGATAGGGTCATCTTGATTTCATAGAATGGGTTTGGTTGTCTTCCCCTTCACTTTGATGGAATGGTATTGGTGTTAGTTCCTCCTTAAATGTTTGGTGACAACCTGTGATACATCTGTCCGTTCTGGAACTGTCTTTATGAGACCCTTTAGGCATTGCTCCAGTCTTGTGCTTGTTAATGACCTCTTTACATGCTTATATCTCACAGATTGAACTGTGGCAGATTGTAGGCATTTAGAAATCGATTTATTTCTTCTAGGTCTTCCTGTCCTTTAGAATATAAGTTTTTAAAGCATTCTGTAACAATCTTTTGGATTTCATTGGAATCTGGTAACAATTTACTTTTCATCTTTATTTATATTAATTTGGGTTTTCTCTGTTTTTGTTAGTTTAATTAGTGCTTTGTCAATCTTGTTAATCTTTTCATAGAACTAGGTCTTTTGATTGATTTTTGTATATTGTTCTCTCCATGTCTGTTTCATTCCTTTCTGTTCTCATCTTAATTTCTTAAGATTTGCTGGGTTTTGTTTTAGCATCTCGTTTTTCTAGAGCTTTGTTTGAGATCTCTGAATTTTGAATGTGGTCACTTACAACAAAAACCTTCTCTCTCAGGACTGCTGGGCGGTGCTCCGAGGGTCAGTAGACTGCTCTCTTGTTCATTTGCGTCTTTCAGGAGTTGGAGATCCAAGGTGTCTGTGGTTGTTGTGTTGCACTGTGGTCTGCTAAGGTAAAGGGATTCTTTTTCTGTCTACTTACTTTTTCTACTTATCTGTGTGCGGAGGCTTGTTTTGTGGCTTATAATGTGGTCAATTTTAGATGAGGTTTTTCTGTGTGAAAGTGGAATAATCTACAGTTATTGTTAAGTCCAGTTGACTTTTGGTGTAGTTTAGTTCTAAGTGTCTGTGCTGAGTTTTAGTTCGGAAGAACTGTCGCAGTTGAGCATTGACATCTCCCACTCTTGTTTTGTTGGGATGTATGTGACCTTTCACATCTTTTACTATTAGTTTCAGAAAATTGGTAGCCACAGTATTTGATGAATGAATCTTTACAACTATTATATGACCTTGGTGAATTTTTTCCTTCTTGTAGTACTTCTTTCTCTTTATTCTTCTGACTTTAGTTTGGAAGCTACTGTATCAGATACAGCAATTGCTCTGCTTGCTTGTTCACTGGCTTGCTCAGTTTATTTCTAGCTCCTGTCTCAATCTTTGGACGTCTTTACTAGCTAAGTGTATTTCTTGGAGACAACAGACAGCTACCTTGTCCTTTTAATTCAGCCAGTTCATTTCTATCTTTTTATTGGTAAGTTGATGCTGTTCTTACTTTTAGCCGTTGTTGACGGGATCGCTAGTTCCTATGATTTTCCTAGTTGCTATTCTGGTTAGTTGGATCATTAGTTTTTCTTTGCTCCTCCCCTCTTAGGATTGGGGGTTTTCTGGTTTGCTCTGTTGCCCATGACTGATTATTTTTCCCCAGGCACCTGGCTCTGGCTTGTTCTTTAGCTTCTTTCATGAAATGTGATCTTTCCAGTATTCTTGTGAATGAAACCTTCTTTTCTGTACATATTTTTCCTTTAAGAAGTTTCTGCCATGCTGAAAAGCATTCAATTGCCATGAATTGTTTTAATTTGTGTTTGTCTTGAAATATTGTTTTCCCCCCTGTATCAATTCTTAAAGATAACTTTGCTGGGCACATCAGTCTTAGTTGTCAGTTAATTATTTCAAGGTGTGAAATATATTGTTCTATACTTCCTTGGATTCTCAGGCTACAGATGAAGGATCTGATGCTATTTTGAGATTTCTGCTTTTTTTTTTTTTGGTAAGTTGGCTTTTCCCCTTACAGCTTGTGGTATTGCTTCTTTGCTTTGCATCTTTGAAACCATGACTGTGATGTGAGGAGTGAGTCTTCTCTGGCCATGTCTATTTGGGGTTCTGAATAGCTCTTGTGTGTGGATACCCACTTGTTTTTCTGTTTGAGATATTTTCTGCTGTAATTTTGCTAGTAAGTTACTTGTGATTTTTAATTTTATTTCAGCACTTTCTAAATCCCCATGTTTGAGGCCAGACCCTCAAATAAAAATGGCAATCCTTTGCCAGCAGCTATGGACTACCTGTAGCTCCTTAGGAAGCGGGGGAGCCTGGAGAGTGCCTCCCCCATCTATGCCAGCATTTTGGCTGGGATGATCTTGTGCTTGTCTTGTCTAGCCACAGCTGCTGTGAATTCAGGAGTGCCATAGCCGCATCATTTCCGCCAACAGCATCCTATTGTGCTCCATCCTCAGACTCTTGCCATTCCCTCTGCCGCCCCTTCAGGGTGTTTCTTGAGAATGTTTCTGCAAAGCCTATTCCTATGTTTCTTTTCATTTAGCAAAGCTTTCTCTCTTGCCATCTTGCTAGAAGCTAAAATGTAAAAATAATTAAATTTGGTTATGATTTTTGGTTGCTTTGGTTAAATTCAGTAGGTAATTTTTGTGCCTATCTACTTATCTACCATTTATCTCTATCATGTATATATGTATCATCTATTTATATTTAGTTTGTTATAATATATTTCTTTGTGAATATGTTGGTGCTGTTGCACTATTTTTCTTGTGAGTACTCTCTCACAGAAAAATCCCACAGATAAGAATTTATCAGTGCTGAAAACCCAGCACTTCTGTAGGGAGTGTGGCCAGCTCAGGGAATTTACTGCCATTGATATGGGAAGTCGGCATCTGTTCTGTGCAAGTTCTCCCAACCACTATGTTCACAGAGAGCATCTTGTGTTGGTCACCATGCCTCTGGAGATGCTGGCCTCCTCAGGTGCCTGTCAGGATGTGTCAACGCTCCTGCTTGTCTTTTAGATGAAACCGAGTATGAGTACAGCGGGAGTGAGGAGGAAGAGGAGGAAGTGCCTGAACAGGAAGGAGAGCCAAGGTAAGGACCCTGAGAGATGAAGCTCCATTGAAGCTGGCATTCCACAGGAACATGGAGCACTGGCTCGCTTCCTGTCCGCCATCCTCACCTCATGACAGATGTCTGTGAGCAGCTCCCCACTCCAAACTGTTACGTAGTGTTTTGTTTTTAACCCAGTTTTATGTTTGGGGCTGAGGAAATACTGCTGCTGACATTTGGTGCTCCAGGAGGCACAGTGGTACAAGTCCTCTGCCAGCCAGAACAGTCAGACCTGCACACAAAGAAACATCCTGCTCACAGGCAGCTGTTGAAACCTTTCCCGAAGCTTCATTTCTTCCTGCTGCGACTGCGGTTACCAGCATTTGGCTTCCTCTCTTAGGGAGTGTTCTACATTTTGGTTTATCTCTGACTTCCCAAAGTGTAGTGAAATTAAGCAGGAGGCTGAGTGAGGGATTTACTTTTTTATATTTTTACTTTAGTAATGATAGCATTCCAGCTGATCTTACCTATGATTGAGAATGGACAAAACGAAGACAGATAGAAGTGTTGAGAATGTGTTGGAAATAAGAGTTTGAAGAGGGGCATGAAATTTTACTAAGAAGTCCTACGATAACTTAAACAATCTGAGTCCATTTCAAACTAAAATTTGCAGAAAATTAGAATTGATTTCATGACCACTATAGTTGTTTTTGGAGAATAAAATGGCATATGTAAGATACACACTGGCAGATGTAGTTAAAGGAATTGAAGCATGTTTGTATTCTTGCTGTTCTGGGTGATATAGGATTGGGGAGACAGAACAGTACTAACTCAGCGTCCTGTGCAAGGCTCGCTTGGGACCTGCTGCTGTCCCCATCCTAAAAAGCAGTGGTAGGGAATGCAGAGCAGGCTTGATGCTGGCCAGATGAAAATGAAGGAATGCTGAGCACCAATGAATGCCATTTCTTTGTGATGATGGAAAATAAGAGGGCCAAAGAGAGACCATTGAAGTGAAAGAAAGTGAGCTCAGTCTTCCAGTGTGTTGTTGAGTTGATGGGGGAGTCCCATGTATAAGTGCCTACTAAGCATCTAGAACTGATTTTTCAGACATTGGTAATGATAAAGGATGACACAAGCCTTCTGAGCTGTAAGCATAGCTGTCCCGGACTTGTTGATTGAACACCTGGGCTAAGTTCTCATTAAGTGAGCTGAGCGTAGAAGAGGAAGGGCACCGTGCTCTTGGTGCCCTCAGAGCCAAGGTGATGCATGAAGCCCTGACAGCCCTCTTCACTCTGCAGTTCCATTGTCAATGTGCCTGGAGAGTCGACTCTGCGCCGTGATTTCCTGAGACTGCAGCAGGAGAACAAGGAGCGTTCTGAGGCTCTGCGGAGACAGCAGCTTCTCCAGGAGCAGCAGCTCCGGGAGCAGGAGGAGTATAAGAGGCAGCTGTTGGCGGAGAGGCAGAAACGGATTGAACAGCAGAAGGAACAGAGGAGGCGGCTGGAAGAGGTAGGAGACATCTGTGTTGGTCTTTTCCTTTTCTATACTCATATCTGTTGGTTACCAGACACCCCTCCAGCTTGCTGAGGTGATGTGGTACTGAGACAATAGGTGCAGGCCCTCTTGTAGCCATTCAGACCTTCTGAAGGGAAGCCTGTGCTTTGGACTGGCAGGGTTCACATTCCTTGACCTTAGAAATGTATTCCTTGTAAAACATGCTGAAGGCCTGCCTAACGCTTAGGTTACATGTGTATTGTGAGGTGTAGATCTCCATTGTCCTGAAGATGGCACTAGACCAGCTTTCTGTAGTGTTTCCATTGTATTTAAGTTGACTTGCTTAGATTTGACCTGATTTCTTTTCCATTCTTGGCTTTTGGATCTCAATTTTGTATTTTTCTGACACTTAAGACTTTTTATATATAAGAAAACGATTGTTCTCAAAATTCCTTAACTTTGGGGTGGATTTAAGAGTAAAAAATTCAGGCCAAGAAGATGGTTCCATGGATGTAGATGCATGCCACCAAGCCTGACAACTGGAGTTTGGTCCCTAGGTCCTAGGTAGTATATTAGAGAGAATGAACTCTAGCAGGTTGTCTTCTGACCTCCACACGTGTGCTGTGACATGTGCATTGCATGCACCACACACACACATACAACAAATGTATTTTTTTTTAAAGGAGTAAGAAATTCAGAAAACAGAATAATTTTGTTCTGTGGCAGGCAAGTGCAGTTTGCACCATGTTTATTTACGCCGTTAATAGTCTCAGTATTGGTAATGTAGTTATTTAAAGGTTGTTTTTATTTTTAATTCACAGAAATGTAGTTTCCCCGTAATTCTCTTGAGAATCAAGAGTGTTTTGATTTTCTTTTTTTGACTGCCTTTTATTTACCATGCCACAGCCCCTAATTTCTCACAATCATTTGTTTTCATTTGATTTGAATATATTTTTCCACCTCTGTAATTTTTTCCTAGTAGAAGAATCATCAGAAATAAGCCCTGTAATGGCATTTCCAGTGGGGTTTACTTTAAATAGCTAAACATCTGTTGCCCAGGTCGTGTAGCAGAGTATGCTGGCAGAGTGTCTTTAAATAACTAACCATGCTGTTGCCTAGGTCATGCAGCAGAGTGTGCTGGCACGGTGTCTCTTATTGTCCTATGGATTTGTTCCCTGCTTGGAAACTAGTGTGTGCCTCACAAAGGGAGATATGTAAATACTCAGAACTTTTATAGTGAAAAAATTAGTGTTTGTAGGACTTTTGAAAGCTTACTTGCAAATCTCTTTAAAGGATATTTAAGGCTTTTCTCACTGTTTTGTGAACAGACTGGAAAACTGGGATGAGTTTGGAGGCTTACTGCAGGTACTGGGATGAGCTCTGACCCTGTCTAGTTCCACTGCCCAGGCAGGTGGTAAGAGTTGCCCTGTGGGGCTATTATGAACTGGATTGTCTAGAGTTTGTAACACAGGCGGTGACAGTGGCTTTCAGGTTGTAGGAGTGAGATTGGCATCTAGCCTCTCTGTGAGTAGGCAGTGACTATTATACAGTGAAGACAGCTGAAGTTCATCGATGTGTTTGGCCATTTTGTTTCACTCAGTACATTGATGCCTAGTGGGTTAGAGATATTTTTATCAGTCTGCCAGTTCATGATCGAGTGTAAATTCATACTCAGGGTCACCGCGGATCCCACTTTTCCTAAACATAGGGGAGGGGCTGGAGAGATGCTCGGTGGCTGAGAGCACACTTGTTGCTCTTGTATGTAGAGAAACCCAGATCTGGTTCACAGTACCCATGTGTGGGTTACAACCATTCATAACTCCATGGCCACCAAGCACACACATGCTACACATAAATACATGTAGGCTAAATACTCATTTGCTAAAAGTGAAGAAAAAAATTTAAAAAAATAGAGGAAAGGTGGTGTTAGGGAAATTGGAGGGGTGAGAATGAGGGGATAGAGTTGATCAAAACAAACAATAAAAAAGAAACCTTAAAAATAGAGCTAGGCACTGGAACGGCAAGTGTTCTCACAACTGGAATCTGCTTGTTGGGATTCTGGGAGGTCTAGCTTCTTTTCCTTAATGGGAGGCAGTTCTAAGCATTGTTTGAACCTTAGGTTCCAGAAAGGTAATTTGGAAATCTTTGAGACTGAGTAATTTGTAACCCTTTCAATAAAAGGCTAGGTTAGCCCCCCTCCCTTTAAATGGAAATAAAAATTCCTTAAAAAAAAATTCCCGTTATGAACAATGTAGGTGGAGATACGCAGCCCCATTCATGAGATGAGTGAATGTTGGGCCACTAGGATGGCTCAGAGCTTCAGTCCCTAGGACCCACATGATAAAAGGAGAAAACAGACTCTTTCAGGTTGTCCTCTGACCTCCATGTGTGCCCTGTGGTAGCGTGCTGTTCACATGTGCATACTCAATAAACATAATTTAAAAGTTCCCAAAGCCTAAATAATTTCCTTTCAGTAGGCCAGCCAGAGATGCTTTAAAATAAGGAGTAAGGGACCATGGTACAAAGCCCCCCTTTTTGCCCCTGCCTTAAAACTAGTCTTGCTGCAGCTAGGTGTGTCCTCTTTCTTCCTATCAGAGGCCCATATATTTCAGAAGTACTTGTGTGCCACTCGCTTAGCTAGGAGATACCAGCTGCTCTTCTCCTGTTTGCTGGTGTGCTGTACATAAGCGTGCAGATGCAGCCTTCGCCTCGGAGGGAGTGGTCATGGCTAGGAACAGTCCGGGTTACCCCAATACCCTAATACACATTACCTTTACAGTACATACCTAATCACATATTACCATTACATTACAGCTTTATGAAGTTGTTGTGATTGAGCAAAGACAAACAAGTCAAGATGCTTCTGTCAGGAAGTCTTCCTTGCTTTGCTAAGGAGAGCCTATTACACACCCCAGGCCCTGCTCTCTGATGACCTCCTAACCTTTGTTGGAAGCAAGGAGTGTTAGTGCACTCCAAAGGATTTACCTAGTAATCATGGCTATTAGGTCAGACACAGTGGGCAGTGAATGGTTATTAAAGATGCTAAACACAGCCAAGAAACTCGCCTCCCAGTAGTTCTGGTCAGCCAGCAGCCTTTCAGAATCTCCAACACAGGAGCTTGTTCTTACATCTCAGCTCACGTAGGTATCTGGGAATTGGTTTTCTAGTTTTGTAGCTTTCTGCTTTTTCTGTCACATTCTCTTAGTCCCAGGAAGAAGGGGAGTGCATGCTGAGTCCACACAGGTCAGTCTTTCCATAAGCTCTTGGCTCCCTTCCCTGCTGCCGTCCCCTCTCTGTCTGTGAACACTGCAGCAGGGTACCTACTCTTCCCTATTCTGTCCTTTCTGTGGGTGTTTAAAAAAATGGTTTCTACTCCATTAGCGCTTAGCCCTGGAGTCTCAGCTGCGACTCTGTGACTGGGGATTGCTTTCCTCAGCAGGGTGGACATGGAGTGTGTGCTCTGTAGATCCTCTCCCCAGGAGGACACACGGATTATTCAGTTTAGAGGGGCAGGTAGAAGTGAGTACATTAAAAGTAAAGGGAAGTGAGAGAAAAGAAAATTTCTTTGTGAAGTGGGGTTAGCATTAGGCAGACATAGTTTCTCAGTAAGAGTTAATAAGCCATCCTGTGTCTGTTGTGTTTTTTGGCTCTGAGATCATAGAAGGGAAAATTTGAACTCCTTTGCCTCAGAGAATTTTCAGAGGCTTTCCACACATTTCCTCACTTGCCTTCACATACAAAAGGCCATTGTTGTACAAATCATCAGCATCTGACTACAGGGTCGGCCTTGGCCTGGCGCTGCCTTTTTCACAGCTCCAGCTTTAAAGATCTGCTTTATTCCCGGCCTGGCAACCCAGGGCCCTGAAGCTAAGGCCTGGCCTAGTCTGGTCAGTCAGTCAGCAGTGGCTATCTTGTTCATAAGAACCTCTTGTAAGTTCTTGAATGTTCTTTTGACATGCAGTCTTGTGCTTTTATTTTTAGTTAAATTTGGTGAAGAATTTAATTCAGCAAACATTGGTATCTTATGGGGAGAATTTTCTTTTGAGAAATTCCAGTCATTTTTTTTTCTCTTTTAAAAGGTGATCAGAACTGTAACATAAGCAAACACACTGTATGCAGTAGCATGTTCTCAAGCCTCTTGAATGGAGGTAACTAGAACATTACTAACACTAGTAAATTCAGGTCATGTTTGAATGGGCTTTAGAGCTGTATCAGTATGGCAGACTTAGGGAAGATTTTAACAGCTCAAAAAGTATGCATTTATTCTAACACACTTAAGAATACTTCAGTAATAAGAAAATCTGTGATTTGAGAGACCTTGAGAATCATTCTTATAGCATCATGCAATCTTTCACTTTGATTTTTGTTAAATTAATACAAGAAAACCAGAGAAGGTTAAGCTAGTATATTTGTAGGTATTAACAGGAGATTCATTTCATTTAGGCTATTTTCTTTCATGAAAACAGCCTTTCATATTAATCATCTGTTAAGAGACATTTAGGGGGCTGGAGAAATGGCTTAGAGGTTAAGAGCACTGGCTGCTCTTCCAAAGGTCCTGAGTTCAATTCTTGCCAACCTCATGGGGCTCACAACCATCTATAATGAGATCTGGTACCCTCTTCTGGCCTGCAGGCAGAATACTGTATACATAATAAATAAATAAACCTTAAAAAAAAGAGTAACAAATAAACCTTTAAAAAAAAGAGCTATTTAATAAGATACATTTGAAAAGTCAGTTGTTTGGTTTCTGCTGTTACAGTCTTTCTAAATGTGAAGAGCTTTGGTTGCTCACAACTGTCCTGTTGATTCTTGGTCAGACTCTCAGATTCTGGGTCTTGGGAGGGTGGTGGGGAGGGTGTGTAGTGTAGCAGTGCCTCTGTCCTGTGGTGTCAACCTCTGCCCTGCCTTGAATGTGCATGCAGTGCACTCTCCCCTCTCGGAGTCTAAATGCTCCTCCGCTGCTGTCTGCAGCATGTGTCTGGCGCTGCTTTCCCTATGAATGCGCATTGCCCTTTCTTTTCCCAGCTACTGCCAAGACCACTCATTGCTCCACTTACCTAAGGGGTTGAACATTGGTGATTCTTTCTGGACCTGTCTTCTTTTTCTCCTCCCTAAATTAGAGCAGTTTAATACTCTTGTTTCAGTTTATACTTGTGACTATTCAAGTCTATTATGGAGGGCAAGTAAGAAAGAAATTGTCTTGTTCTTTGTCTTGGCCATTCATTCATTCCTCCCCTTGCTTAATGGGATAGTCTCAGGAATCTTTGCATGTGCCTCATTGTTTAAATTCATCTTCATATGTCCACGATACTTGCTAATACAGGTTTATCAAGTGGATAAATCAGTCATTTCTAGTCCTGTGTGTATCTCTGAAAAGTGACTGTTGATACTGTACTCATTTGAAAATGGATCCTTAGATGTGAGTCTTAGTATCTGAGTCTTGGATACTTTTTTATTATTATTTTATTAGTATTCTTTTATTGGTTTTATTGAGCTATACATTTTTCCACTCCTCTTCCTTCCTCCCCTATTCCCTTCTACCGTCTCCCTGTCCCCTACACTCCCAATTTTCTCAGGAGATCTTGCACTTTGGACCACTCAGAGACTTTATGTCATGAGAAACAGAGGCTGTGGTTTGAAAATATGATACCCTACCCACATATACCAGTTATTCCTCAAGCTTGTCTGTACTATATGCAAAGATTACCTTAGGATTTGATTGGGTTTCATCTCTGAATAGATAGTTCAGTCTTCCATCACTCTGAGTGTGAGATGCTGAGTACAATCACAACAGTTTTCTCCAGGATGCCATGTGCTTGTCACGAGTCGGATTTAAAAAAAAAATCACAACACACAGGCTGACAGGGGAGCTCAGTAGTAGCTGAGCATTGCCTGGCATGCTTGAGGCCTTGGAGTCAGTCCCCAGCATCTCTCTCTCTCTCTCTCTCTCTCTCTCTCTCTCTCTCTCTCTCTCTCACACACACACACACACACACACACACACACACACACACACACACAGTCACCATATATTCCTCTCAGGAAGGTAATGTGTACATGGAGGGGACTAAATATAACCATGCTTTCAAAGGACTTAAATTGCTAAAACGTTTCATTTAACACTAAGAAGAAAATGCCTTTTGAAAACTTTCAGTCAATAATTGAGGTTTTTCTCTTAAGATTTATTATTTTATTCTAAGTGTATGGGGTTTTACCTATACCTACCTGTGCACACAGTCCCACAGTGGCCAGAAGACAGCATTAGATCCTTTAGTGGTCTGGAAGTCCTGGCCCCTGACCACCACCCAGGCTAACTCAGAGAATGCTTCTCAGGAGCGAGGATTGAAAGATTTCTATAATAGCTTGCACAGTGTCTGAGGGTAATTTTCTTTTATTCTTCTTTAGATCTAATTCTCTTGTTCTAATTGTCTATAATTCTTTAGCTTCTAATTCTTTAGTTCCAATTCTGTAATTTTAAATCTTTGGTTTCAATTCTCTGTAGTTTTCTGTTCAATCTAGCGTAAAAACACTTTTTACAGGAGGCTTGAAGTTATGATAAAAAGTTTTACAGGAGTTAATCTCGTTGGTAAGAAGCACATTCCTTTGGGTGAGTGACAAGGGCAGAACCCTTGACCCTGGACACACAAAGTTCAAGGTCTCTGGAGTGACTGTGAGCAGAGGGCAGGCCCAGTGCCCAGGGAGATGAGCTGTGAGACACAGTTTCATCAGTTACTTTTGGCAAGTGAAGAATTGACAGGGTTTTTTAGACTTTGTGTTAGTAACCTTGGTTAGGCACCCACGCCTCTGACCTTGTGTACAGCTGTGAAGTTTTAAACTCATGCTCCATTCACAAAAACCTTCAGTCTGGTTTCTCATACTCCATTCACAAAAACCTTCAGTCTGGTGTGAACTTGCTCTGAGGCAGAAACGAGCTGATTGTGTGCAGTTGTCTTAGACTGAGGAGACATTTGTTATTTTCTTGTTAGTCAGAATAAAGGGAGCAAAGCGGCTTTCTAAGTGCCTCACAGTCCTCGTGGGACAATAGATCTAGTTATGAAGCATATTCTAGTATATTTCTGCATATATCAAAATCATACAGCTTAATGAGAAGTCATTTTCCTGGCCATCCAGAGATATATGTGTGTTCAGTAGATGGAATATTTTCAGGAGATAAATACACAAGCAGTGGGAAAACACCCAAAACTGTTCTTAGGGAAGAAATGAAGTGACTCATGAGAGAAATTACAGAAGAGACAAACAGTTATCTATAACCAGTGACCCCATGGCCTTACCAAGTGGGGCTCCCTATCAGAGTCACTCATCTGATAATAGGTCAGCCTATTGGACACTAGTTATCACCTGCTGTATACTCCCATGGCCTCCAACAAGATCCCCAGGAATTGGAGTTACAGATAGTTGTGAGCTACCCTGTGGGTGCTGGGAACTGAACCTGAGTCCTTTGGAAGAGGAACCAGTGCTCGTAAGTTCTGAACCAGCTCTCAAGCCCCTGAGGTTGGTTTTTGTTTGTTTGCTTGCTTGCTTGCTTGTTTTTAATGTAGTAAGAATTCCTGAAGTATTTAAAAACTCTTAGAAAATAGGAAAAGAAGAAAAGACAAATTTATGGGTAATAGAACAAAAGAAAACCATTTGATTCAGGAGCCCCACATCACCTTTAACAGACATTCTAAGACATTGGTGTGATAGGAAGAACATACAGAAAATAGTTAAACATAATTTCTAGCTCTGAAAAACACATTTCTGTCTGGCATATTCTGCCATCCCAGAACTCAGAAAGAGGCAGGAGAATTGAAAATTCAAAACCATCCTGGGCTACACAGTAAACCAAAAATCAAAAACCAACAGATACAAGTTTCTGAAATGAAAAACTTATTGCATATTCAGAAGACAGTTGAAAACCAAAAGAAAGAAAAGCCCATGTGAAGGCCCATGTCATCTTTGAGTCCCTGTATTGAAGACAGAAAGGGGATCCTAAAAGCTGCAGAGCAGGGCAGTTTGTGGACCTCGGTTGGACAGACCGCACAGTCTCAGTGGGACATCACCCCGCTGTCCAGGCCCAGCACACACAGGACATGCCTTAGACGCTGCTGGAGTGTGAGGAAGATTCAGATGGGGTACTAAACTCTAACAAATCCTTGTGTTGTGTACCCACTGTAACTTTGTGATATAGTATTTTTATTTAATCTTGTTGTTAGCCATAGTATCACAGAATTTGTGAACTGTATCAGTTTTCTCTGATACAGTGATATATTCTGTAGAGGTATTGTCCAGTGGAGAAGCCACTAGTGGACTCGTTTCTTTATGTGTGCAAGCTACAATTTAGCGGTAGTGTGTAGTAGCCATGTATTAGACAGCGTTGGTTGAACGTTAGCATTTTTCATATTCATAGAAAGAACTAATAAACTTTAGACTCCACAGCATGTTAGTGCTTACTGACAGGTGCTGTGTCATTTTGCAAGAACAGTTAGGGAAGTAGCTGTGTTGTTGGACACTGTGCATGTCTGGAGCAGGCTGAGTTTCCTGAGTTGGTTTGACACTCTATCTGTCGGGGTGCTAGGTAGAGTGTACTTATAGAATGAGCCTCATAGACAGAATGGCTTTTCCAGTAGAGGCGTTTTGGCCAGTGACGTTAGACAGGCCATTTTATTTTTCTGAGCCTGTTTTCTGTGTAGTAGGACTGAGGTACAATAGGAATGAGATCCTGACTTCCTAGGGCTGTAAAGAAAATTATATTAGGTGCAGCAAGTGATTTTTAAATGGTAAGTGTTTACAGAGCCAGGAACATAGAAGCTCACAGGTATTCATTGGTAACTTTGAGATATTCCCAGCAGTAGTAGTGATACTTGTTTTGTTTGCCAATGCCCATTTCTTTTTGTTCTTTTTTCTCATGCATACTTCTAATTTTTAAGATACTTTTTTGTTTTTTCTTCTTTGTCCTTTTTTTCTACCCTCTAATCATTTATTTCTTTCTGTTCTGATTTAAGAGTCCTAGATAGTAATGCCATGAATAACAGTGAGTGGTGGGGTTCAGTAGGCAGTGAACATGACTGTAGTGGAACACAAACCCTGTCAGAGCTCAAAGGAACACTACACCCGTGAGCAGTAGTTATGGGGCACTGCATGGTACCTGGCCAGAAGAGGCTGCAGGGTCCAGGGGGTTTCTCACTGTCAGCAGATCTCCGAGAACCACAGCCAGCAGATCCCTGGTAACTTCACAGTTCTTCTTCTGCAGCAACAAAGAAGAGAGCGTGAAGCCAGGAGGCAGCAGGAGCGAGAGCAGCGAAGGCGAGAACAAGAAGAAAAGAGGCGTCTAGAGGAACTGGAGAGGAGGCGCAAAGAAGAAGAGGAGAGGAGAAGGGCTGAGGAGGAGAAGAGGAGAGTGGAGCGGGAGCAGGTTAGTTTATCAAATCGTAGTATTTGCTATCCTGTTGAGCTGGGGACTGGTAGCCAAATGTACTCTCCTGTGTGCGTGCACATATTACACTCAGAAGTTTAAGTGTCTAAACACATTGGAAACACTAACGACTTGACTCCTTACCTTCAAAAAGAAAAAAAATTGATACAGTGTAGAGACCCTTTGAGACTACCCAGAGTCTTGACAAGTGTGACACGTGACAGATTTCTGAATATATGTTCACAGTCTCGGCTTACATACTGTGAACTCCAGGTGTCTGGGTGGTGTTAACTTTTTAGACAAGGAAATTAAAAACCAACTGTAAGGGAATTTGTAATAAATGTTTGAAATATCTAGTGACTGAGTATATATATATATATATGTATTAGTAGTATTAAAAATTTTTTTGATATTTAACAGAAACAGTTTTTTGTAATGCTTTTAATTTTGGTATTGCTTTCTATAGTTTATTTGTAAATTTCTTAAACCATATGTAAACAAAAAATAACTTTTCTTAGTTTCTTTGGCTTTCTCGTCTTCATTGATCATTCTTTGTTTTGTACTTTGAATAAAGAAGTCAGTGAATGGGAACCATTTGAATAGTGCTTGGATTTCAGATTTAAAGTACTTTCAGACCATGATTTTAACTTCCAAATGGGATGATCCAGCTGCTGTCCTTCGTTCTCCTCCTGGACCTTGAGTGTCTGAGCTTGGGTCTGCATATACACCACTGAGTGTTTGAACCTCCGTGGTACAGCCTACGTGTTACTGTCTTCTTCTTGAAGCTTAACAGCATTGCTTGTTTGTTTGTGGTGGCAGTCATTAGTATTTTATCATGTTTATCCCCGAGGGCTACAAATTTGTGAAGATGTCACTTGTCAAGAAGTCACGGGGTGTTGCTGTGTTGATTGTGAGAGGCCTGAGGGTGGTGCTTCTGCTTTACTGCTGTGGTGGAAGTTGCAGTTGTTCAGATTTTGTGAATAGGGGCTGGTGAGCTTGCCCAGCAGGGGAGAGCACTGGCTGCTCCTCTAGAAGACCCGGATTCAGTTCTCAGCACCCACATGATCCCTTACAACCCCGTCACTCCAGTTCCAGGGATCCAATGGCCTCTTCCTGGCCTTCCCCAGGAATGCATACACATGGTCAACAAATATTCATGTAGGCAGAACACTCATAAATACAAAATATAAGTAAATCTTAACCTTTACAATATTTGTGACTAGCAAGTACACTGCACTTTAAGGATTTCTTAAAATTGGTTCTGTTTTACTCTGCTCTTCCTTTTTGATTGCTAAATAATAGTTCTCTGTTAAACTTGCTGTAGTACACATTGCATTCCCATGCAAGTGTGTGTTTCATATTCTCTGATCATTGTATGTCAGAATCTTTGTGGTTTGGATAGCATGTGATTTTTTTTTTCTCCTCCCGTTTTCCTTTCATTTTAAAGGAAGAGCATAAATGAGTATAGTAACTTGTTTACTTTCAAGTTAGGGTTTAATTCTGTTTTGCTTAAAAAAATATATGATTTGGTATTCAGATTCCGTTTTTCAGACAGCTAAGGCCACATGTCCATCACAAAGACACTTAGTTGCTAAGAATGATCTTGGGGAGCCAGGGACTAGGGACCTGGCCTTGGGGACTCAGTCTGCTTTGTAAGATATGATGCCCTGAGGTTGTTTATAGGGCATTGTTTTTATGTTGTCTGATACTCTTCTGGCCAGAACGATGGTTAGCTTAAGCATCTGTGCAGCCCATATCTTTGGCTCTTTACTTCAAGGCATGTGCCATGAAACGGGCTGGTCAGTAGGAGGCATCTAAAGAGACAGAACCCAACTCCATGGAGCAGTTTTCCCATGAACCCTTCCTTTGCTCCCCTTCTAGGGCGGGTGGGTAGTTTTCATTAATGCAGGGGTGGCAGTGTTTGTTTTCCTGACGGAAAGACTTCTTGTAAAATGCTTTTGTTCCAGAGAGATTTTCATATCTAGCTCATATTCCATTTCTCTAGTGAAAAAACATAATGGAAACTTGAACAAATGCAGCAGGTCACACAGCTTGTTTTTGATGGAACTGGGTTTAGGGTCTCCTCATCGCTTTGTTCAAATAGGATGGGTACAACTTCAAGTTTGAGTATGTTCCCACCTCTCACTCCTCCCCCCAAACTGGAGCTTGAACTACGGACTTTAGGCAGGTCAAAGTAGCATTATTACCTTTGTGTATTATGCTTCATATGTGATTGCCTTTTCCCGTTATGATACAGATTGGTCATTTTCTCCCACTGTGCACAATACACAAACACAAGCTCATCACCAAGAGCTTGGGCCAGTTTACTTGTAGAGAAGTGCCCATAACCTATGATCCCTGACCATATCCTTCAGATTATAGTCATTCAGGTACCTTTCAGATCATTAGCAAAAGCACAATTTGTCTTTGGGTTTTTTGGTTTTATTTTATTTTGGTTTTAGGTCTTAAACAGATTTGGGTTTTAGTTTTCAAAGGTTGCTGACCCATGATTGTTTAAAATGATGTCTCATAAGCAGATATTTACTCATCAGAATCCCTTGATCCTAATTCAGCTCCAGTGTCTGTGGAGTCTGTCATCTTAAGAGGAAGACCTCCTTTACAGTTCTGTGTTGGGTGTGGTAATAGCATTGTACAGCGGAGCTCCCACACTGCCACGTGTCCCTGGGGTGCCCTAGCCTCCCTGCACTGCACTGGCCAGCTTGAAGCCTTTGCAAAAGCCCCAGCAAGAGGTTGTTTTTAGGTTAGGTGTGCATTCCTTGGTGAGTTTGCTGTGAAGCTTATTGGAGTAGTTCTTGGTTGCCCACACAGGTGACTGATGCTTTCCTTCTGGATGTACTGACTGCTGGGTAATTTCTGTGTGACAGGAGTACATCAGGCGGCAGCTAGAGGAGGAGCAGCGGCACCTGGAAATCCTGCAGCAGCAGCTGCTCCAGGAGCAGGCCATGTTACTGGTAACGCCCCGCCTCTGTCCCATTCCCAAGCCACAGGGCCTGTCCCTCCCCTAAGTTGGCCAAGTGGTGACTGTCAGAGCTGTTTGGTTTTATTGTGGAAGTCAGGTTCTAGTGACGGTGTCCTCTGTGGTCGTGCTGTCAAGCACAATGTAAACTGGTCTTTGTTTATTTCCCATTAGTAAGTTAACTGCTTTGTTCAGCACGTGCCTGTCATGTTTTAAACAGAACTTGGCATTCAGTGAATGTGAAAATGCTGAAGGTGTCAGGCTCACCGTGCATGTGTAGAATTGTTGCTGAGTTTGTGTGTGTATATACCACTGAATCTGATGTTTAATTAAATTCTTTTACTCTGCAATGATGTTACAGTTAGCAAATGCTGTCAGATTTTACACAGGTAACATGCTATTTAAAATCCCAACCATTTGCTTTGCTCTTATACAAGAGGGGAAGTCCTATTTAAACAAACAAAAGTCAAGAAGGGACTCAGAGACGAGATGAGCTCGCCGTGGTCCCCAGATTCAGTGTTGCCCTCTCCCTCTCCAAGGAGTGCCGATGGCGGGAGATGGAGGAGCACCGGCAGGCAGAGAGGCTCCAGAGGCAGTTGCAACAAGAACAAGCATATCTCCTGTCTCTACAGCACGACCACAGGAGGCCGCACCCGCAGCAGCAGCCGCAGCAGCCGCAGCAGGATAGGAGCAAGCCAAGCTATCATGCTCCAGAGCCCAAGCCTCACTACGACCCTGCTGACAGAGCTCGGGAGGTATCTTCTTTCACTTTGCTTAGATGCTGGTCCTGAAAAGGCTCTGAGACGTTCCCTCGTGACTGGTGAGAGCTGTACCATGAATTTCAGAAGGGACCAGCAAATCACCCGTTTTCTATGTGATTGCCTCATTTAACAAATATTAGAGGAATTAGAAGTAAAACTACACACACACACACACACACACAAAGAATGCTTGGCACCATCATTCTTTAGCGTGTGAACGAGAGAAGTGGTGGTCTGGTCCAAGACTAGGATGAGTATCAAGTGGACCTTTAGCCTGATTTCTTATTGGTCAGTTGGTACATTTGGTCACAGCCTCAAACTAGGATGCAGCCAAGCCTTCTTCCTCCTCTGGGCTAGACAAAAGGGTTTGGTTGCTTCCAGGAACACTGAGCAGTTCTGGCCTGTAGATGGCACTCTTATTCTACATCCTCCTTCACAGGGAGGAGAGTCAGGGAACAAATTCTCTTACAGTTAGAGTAATGAAACTGGACACTGATGCTAATCTTAGAGGCTGCTTTGCTTAATTTTCATTTTCATAGTTTTTTAAAAATCCTGTATCAAATCTTAGCCCTGCTTTTTGCCACCCCTCAGCTCCCTCTCTCTTATATCTGAAGAGAACAATTTCTCTTGATTGTCCTGCTGTTAGACTTCCTTCTTCATCTCTCCTTTCCCTACTAACATGGCGCTATGTCTTCTAATTCTCTGATGCAGGTGGAAGATAGATTTAGAAAGACTAACCACAGCTCCCCTGAGGCCCAGTCTAAGCAAACAGGCAGAGGATTGGAGCCGCCGGTGCCTTCCCGATCAGAATCTTTTTCCAATGGCAACTCCGAGTCTGTGCACCCTGCCCTGCAGAGACCAGCGGAGCCACAGGTAGCAGCAGCAGCCTGTGCTGTGCTGAAGGCACATACTGGGCTCACTGGCCACACTCAGTGCATTGTCACGTGGAAAGAGGAGCGAGCTGCTGTGGCGGTACAGCTAAAGAAGGATATGCAGTCAGCCTTCATTGTTTAAGCCATTATGAACAATACATCCATAGTCAGTAATTTAATTTTCTCCCTCCTTAACTCAGATGTGGAGTCCCTCCTTCCTCTTAAAGAAATACTTTTTCACTAGGTTTTTAGAAAGTTGGTTTTATTGTGTAAGCACGTTTGAAGAGAACCAGAGGCTCTTCTCAAACATTTTAAAGTAAATGCTTTACTCCTGTGGTCCTCAGCTCCCTGGAGGACTCTTGGAGGCTGAAGATGCCTGTGATCCATGCAGAATTCTGTTTATTTGACTGAATATGTCTGGGAAAGTCTTTGTTTTCACCAGATTCACAAACACTTTAAGATTCAAACAGGTTTTGACCATTAGAATAAATATTGATTTCCTGGAGGAGATCTCGACAAAGGTTATGACCTTTTCTTCAGTCCGTACCATATTCTGCCTTGTCTGGGTACTCAAAAGAGCAGCTGCCATGTTGTCTAGGAAGGAAAGTAGATGGCGGAGACATCCCAGGCTGACTGTTGGCCTCAAATTCTGGTTCTTGCTCTCTCCCTGATGACAGTGTTTAGGTGCAGCCTCCATGCTGCTCTGTGCTGCAGGCCGCCTCAGAGAGATCCCAAGCATCCCTGCACTTGTCACTGGAGTTTGCATGTCCCCTAGGACAAAAGTTAGTGGTTTTGAGACAGAAGTAATGATTGTGCTTTGACAAATGCATTCACCTGAGAGTTGGAATGTGCTTTACAATAACAAATCCTCCTATTGGACGGTGGGGTGCTATGCAAGGGGTCAAGAGGAGCAGATCTGAGGCACAGTATGTAGGGTGGGGGTTTATGTAGGTACAGCAGCAGAGAACTCCAGAGATTAAAAGATGGACAGAAAAAGATACAGCATAGGCTGAGAGAACAGACCCAAGTAGAAAAGTTTGTTGCCATTCGCTCCTAAACTTGGAGCTTGTTTCCTGGTGTGATGCGTGTTAAATGCACAAGAAGCCCTTGCCTTGAAAGTTAAACCCAACAGAAGGGTCAGACTTTTCTCTGAGCAGTAGAATTCAAGAGTTCCTGAGTTACGTGACCTCATTTTTATTTCATGAGTGATTAATACAGTATTTAGAAACAGTTGCCCTTTTCCTCCTTCTTTGCTGAGAGTGCTCTTGGCCTAAGCAAGCACTGTAAAGTATTCTTGGAGGGAACTTTCTCAGTAATACCTAACACTGAGCCCCACTTACTACTACTTGGTGACACATTTGTTTGTATCTTTCCCAGTGAATATTTAAAATATTTTAGTAGTATGAAATTGTAACAAAACTAGGATTATATGGATCCACTTGTGAGCTATAGAGATTGTGCACTGGGATTTGGCCACAGGTTATATCGGCATAAGTCAAGCAGGTTAGAACTTTGTGATTTCAGTTTGCACTAAACACGCTGATTAGTAAGTATGTAGCAAGAATTACGAGAATTGTAATGTTGGGCAGTTATTCTACAATAACAAGACAACATTTATTGAAAATACTTCATAGATTTTTGAGAGAATATTTTTTAAAACAACTGAATAAATTCACTGGGCAAAGTCACCTTGAGTTCTTAATTGGAAGGCACACTCCAACACTGGTCAGCCGGGGGTGACTTGTCACTGGATTTTTTGCTAAAGAAATTTTAATCCCACTTTTTTTCATAATTAATAGAAAGTCTCAAAGATTAGGAGGAAATAAGAAAAAGCTATTGTTATATTTGAAAAGTCAGTTGTTTGGTTTCTGCTGTTACAGTCTTTCTAAATGTGAAGAGCTTTGGTTGCTCACAACTGTCCTGTTGATTCTTGGTCAGATTCTCAGATTCTGGGTCTTGGGAGGGCTGTGGGGAGGGTGTGTAGTGTAGCAGTGCCTCTGTCCTGTGGTGTCCACTTCTGCCCTGCCCTGAATGTGCATGCAATGCACTCTCCCCTCTCGAGGTCTAAATGCTCCTCCACAGCTGTCTGCAGCATGTGTCTGGCACTGGTTTCCCTGTGAGTGTGCGTTTGCCCTTTCTCTCCTTCATCAGAATGTAACTGGTTTGCTGCTCCATGCCTGACCCTGTGCTGCCCTGATTCCCATTTCAGTTCTACTAGCTCCTGTTGGATTTAGTGTTGACCAGAAAAGCTAGTTGTATGCAGAACGCATTGAATGTTTTGTGTTTTGTTTTCTTGTAAGGTACAGTGGTCCCACCTGGCATCTCTCAAGAACAATGTTTCCCCTGTCTCGAGATCCCATTCCTTCAGTGACCCTTCTCCTCCCAAATTCGCACACCACCATCTTCGCTCTCAGGACCCATGTCCACCTTCCCGCAGTGAGGTGCTCAGTCAAAGCTCTGACTCTAAGTCAGAGCTACCTGACCCCACCCAAAAGGCTTGGTCTAGATCAGACAGTGACGAGGTGCCTCCAAGGGTAAGGAGCAGAAAGACAGATGTGTGCTGCTTTTTCTTTTTTATTTTAAGATTTATTATTTACTTTGATTATGGGTATGGTGACTTCACCAGATTTAAAGGGGCAATGGAATTTCAAAGTAACTTTTTATAGAGAGAAAAACATTCCATGTTTAGTCACATTTAGCCAATGGTCAGTTAACTTTTTATTGTTTAATAATTTAATAAAATAAAAAGAAACATAGTTTAATAAAAAGAAACTTAAAAGGGGACTGGAGAGATGTTTCATGTTAAGAGTAGTGGTTGCTCTTCCAGAGGTCCTGAGTTCAACTTCCAACAACTCGATGGTGGCTAACAACCATCTATAATGAGATCTGGTGCCCTCTTCTGGCATGCAGGCATACATGTAGACAGAACACTGTATACACAATAAATAAATCTTTAAAAAAATTTTTTAAAGAAAAATTATAAACAGCATGCTTCTAAAGTAAATATAATTGTAAATTTAAACAGAAGCTTTTCACTATTATGCATAACAAAGATTTCAGAAAAAGTCTTATGAGGAAAAATTAACAAAATGATTTTTTTTATTTTAAAGTTATTTTGTAATTAGTAACAAAATGAAATTCAAAGGCATATTTTAGTGTATTTTTTCCTTCACTTGGAATTTGCTTCCTCTAAATAATTTCTTGCTTCTTTGCCAGTCTTTGCTTCTTGCTAATCTATTTGTAGACCATTGTTTGATTCCTTTGAGCTTATTTCTTGATTCTTACATTACCTCAGCGAAGTGCTGTTGTGCGTTCCCTGCCACCAGCTTCAGTCCACACATCACATCAGTGTTGCAGAGTGTAGACATTGCCCAGGCCGGTTTGATCAGTGCAGGACAGGGCAGGGCTGGGAGAGGGAGGAGCCTAGTGATCGGTGTGCCAGCATAAGGAGGACTGTCTTGGAATGTGTTTTGAAGAGCTTTGCCGATGAGCTTTGTTGCTCAGCTCACGTCTTTAGTTTTAACTGCCATGTTTTCCTATCTAAAGGTTCCTGTGAGAACAACATCTCGTTCCCCTGTCTTATCCCGTCGGGATTCCCCACTGCAGAGCAGTGGGCAGCAAAATAGCCAAGCAGGACAGAGAAACTCCACCAGGTAAAAGAAGAGTGACAGGAGCCGATGTCCTGTGTGCTTGTCCTTAGAGTCATCCGTTGTCTGTCTTCATAAGTGTGCTCTTCCAGAACTGAAGTTCTAGACAAAAGACATACCCCTACCTCGTTAGTATAAACAACAAATTGATCTGTAGTAAAAAGATTTGGTATGTATTGTAGTTGAAATGAAAACAGCTTTTCTCTGTAAAGCAGAGAATGGAGGCTAGGGAACAGGTTCTGAGAAACTTGAAGTCTGAGAGAGTTTTCAGCCTGAAGGATTAAATTGTGAAGGTGTAAAAGTCACAGCAAAGTTAGTGTTGTAGCAGCCTGCAGCAGGCTAGTGAGCTTGTCAAATGGTATCACTGCTGGGGTTGGTACGGCTCTGCGTGATGCCGTAGTGTTGTTAGCCACACAAGGCTAAGTGGGAATTTAACTGACTTTAAATGAAATAAAATTAGCACTTCACCTCCTTGGTGGGGCATTAGCCGTGTTTCAAGTGCTGGTGTCACGTGTACTGCTGGTACAGTGATCAGATATGGAGTGTGTTGCATGTTCAGCTTACTGGAAATTTCTATTCATCAGCATTGCCCTAGAGTTTACCCTTGCTAAGTCTTTGGCAGTTTGGTCATCACTGAACCTGTCATGTTGGCAACCTTAGTATAGTTACAGGTGACTGGATGAATGATAATTCAGAATCTGCAGGTAGCCCTTTGATGCCGATGACCAGAAAGGACTGGCATTCTCCCGTGCCAGTGTCCAGAACACGAATTCTCCCCAGCAGATGTGTGCTGTGGGTCTGACCATAGCCAGAAAGCCTTCCCAGTTTTGCTTCCCCCCCACATCTCAGACAAAAGAATGAACTGTGGACGTTCAGGGTGTGAGAACTGTAATGGGTGAATGAGGGCAACCTAGATATAGAAAAGTTTCTGGGTAATTATCTCAGTGATGTTTATTTCCCATCAAGAATTGGCTCTGATTAGGACAGAAATGCTTGTAGCTCTAGTCTGTGTGCAGCTCACACATAATATGGATGTCACGTGCTTCAGTAAGAGGTGTCTTTTGGTGTGTGGTAACTTAACAAGGTCTGCACCACCATGTGTATGTAGTGCACTGTGTTAAATGCTGTTTATAGGCTTTTCTCTCCTCCCCACATTCCACATCGTGTACACATTTATGCCATAATATAGTGGAATGACACCATTCTCTCTTCTTTTCTAACAGCAGTATTGAGCCCCGGCTCCTATGGGAGAGAGTGGAGAAGCTGGTCCCCAGGCCCGGCAGTGGCAGCTCCTCAGGGTCCAGCAACTCAGGATCCCAGCCTGGCTCCCATCCTGGGTCTCAGAGCGGCTCTGGTGAACGCTTCAGAGTGAGATGTAGGCTATCTCTCCTACACACTTTCTTTGGGAACACCCATGGCTCTAATTAGTGATTGGAAGACCGCCATGTATAAGAGAGACCTAGACTTGTGTCTCATAAATGATGCTTTGACATCGATTGCTGAGGATATAAGTAATCATAATAATTTTACTCAGAGCTGTATTTTTAAAACGTCACACATAACTAGCACAATAAACACTTTGGATTTGAGTGCAGTCAAATAACGTGCCCAACGTGAATTAAAATGCCTAAGCTGGGGTTGAAACACATTTCCTCCTGTTTGAATTCTGAGGCCTATGCTATTGTCAGTATGTATTATTGACAACAGTAGTTAGAAATTCCTGTTACTGTGGTCTTCATAGTCCTTGGTAGCATCCATGAAACTGATGCAGCACTTTCAGTGAGACATCAGAAAGACTGCCAGAGTGTCCCTAGATCCCATTTTTTGCCTCAAGTTCAGACTCCATGGAGAGAAGTCAACAGGGAGAAGAAATGGGAATCTGGGTGGATGGGGGTGGGGCCGAAACAGTTTATGGTTTGCTTATATCTGTGTTTCTACTTTTATGTCTCTTTAACTGAACAGCATCGTCCAAGTCTGAAGGCTCTCCATCTCAGCGCCTTGAAAATGTAGCCAAAAAACCTGAGGAAAAGAAAGAAGTATTTCGACCTCTCAAGCCTGCTGTAAGGACTGTGTAAAATCAATTGGTTCTGTCTCAAGCTTGAGTGAAATCTCTGTAGTAAAAATATGACTGAAGGGCTAGGGTATGGGGCTGCACTTCGGAGGTTCTAGTTCAGTCTCTAGGGGAAAAAAAGGAGACAAACTGATTGAGAAGCCTGCAGTGGTTTGATTTGTGTGTGGCCCTTTCCTGGTGTGAGGAGGTCAAAGGAATGTCCCATGCCAGGATGCACTTGTGGGTTCTCTCTTAGGTATCTCACGCCTGAAGTCCCTAGTAAGGCAGATTTTTTTCTACTTCAACCTCGTACTTTCTGTCCAGTCCTCTTTACAGAGAAGTACAGAACAAAGCGTAGTTTTATTTCAAAGGCATTTTTAAAGGGAACACACACTTTATAGTAATACTAAGTAAAAGCTAAGATTTCCCCTGCGCGTGCGCGCACACACACACACACACACACACACACACACACACACACACAATCACAGCTGGGCCTTAACCTTATGCTAAATGAGTTTGGCATTTACAGTACTGACTTTCAAAATGCACTGTAGTAAGTCAGCTTTTCACAGCCTCCTGTTGCTTAGTGCCGCCTTTGGCCTCTGGAATGATGACTGCGACTGACCTCGTACTCCCCTTCTCTCCTTGTAGTAATAATCAGTTATGTGACCCTGGGTGGTTGTAGATTTAAGCCTACTGAAGTTTGAGTTTCCTGCTTGTACTGATTTCTTGACTTCTTTCTCCTCCCCTTTTTTCTGCTGTCTGCTCCCCTTTTCTCTGCATCCCCCATCAACGATGACCTCCCTCGCCACCTCCATGAATTGCCGTGTCCTGAAGGGTGAAGTGGTAAGCCCTAACTCTGGCTCGTCTAACTTCAGCAGCGCTCTCTCTACTTTTTAACTTGGCTTGAATTTGAACTCTGCTCTCGACTTGCCCTATTGTTTTCTAGACGTCACAAACTGTATTTTATTGGTAATCAGATATTTTAGCATTGGAACCTGCTCCGGGTATTCACTGTTGTCAGACTTCTGTTCCTTAAGCGTCTGTTTTAGAACTGCTCCAGTGACACAGATGATTAGCAGGCTCTGGGGGCTCAGACTTGGTCCCCGTTGTTTCAGAGGCTCAAGGGCCAATTAAAAAACATACTCTTAACTGCATAAAAGGAGAAAGCTAAGTCAGAACTGCTCTTTAAATAGAAAGGACATAATAGCTATATAGTTGTTTTTTTGTTTTTTGTTAATGTCATTGCTTTTAAGCGAAATTCTCAAGTGAATTTGGACTCAGCATGTAAATGGGAGGGGTAAGCAATCTTCACTCTGGAAAAATAGATTTAGCAGATTGATAAGAATCTTAAAGTATCTCAGCACAGTAAAGAGAAATAAAACCAGGGTTTAGTAAGTTTTCCTTTGATGTTCACACTCCTTGACCATATTGCAGGGAGTGTGGCTGAGTCTAGAAGGGGGGCCTGTGGAAACATCTCACCTATTACATGGCGTATGGCAGAGAGACTTTCTCCTGTGAATGCCCCTCACTCAGCCAGGTGGTAGTTACTAATAGGGAAGTGAGGGGTGACTGTGCTAGAAGCACCCCACTATCTTGTGGACTCGGGATTCTGCATGAAATGAGGGAAGAAAACTCAGATATGTTAACACAGATCTGTGTGATTCTAGGCTGGTGTTCTGAATAATCCCTTTAAAAGAAGTGCTGTTGTGTATTCAGGACACGTCACAGCAAAACCTCGGCCCTGTCTCTAGACTAACAGACATAAAATACTCCTTTCTATTTGGAAACAGAATACTGCCAGCTTACCCTAAGCAGATCGTTGAATTGTGATTGCCAATGACATCAGCCTCTTTCTATCAAAAACCGAACAGACTCCTTCATTTGAACACACATCCCCAGAGAGCCCTCTCTGACACCAACGCTGGCTGCTTACTGGCAGTTAGCCTGGAATGTTTATTACCTGTCTCTTCTACCGGCCCCTTTGCCTCACTCTGTTTTCCGTCCTGTGTGTTAGGACTTGACTGCATTGGCCAAAGAGCTTCGAGCAGTGGAAGATGTTCGACCACCTCACAAAGTGACAGACTACTCTTCCTCCAGTGAGGAGTCTGGGACCACGGATGAGGAGGAGGAGGACGTGGAGCAGGAGGGGCCTGATGACTCCACCTCAGGACCGGAGGACACCAGAGCAGCGTCAGTGCTTGCCGTATTAGCAGATGAGAGTCTTCCCTCCACGCTTTCTTTCTGCTGCAGCCTTTTGCCCTAACACTGTTGCAGAAGTTTGATGTGGTTTTCATGAACTCAGTAGAATATAATTTACACACACACACATCAGTGCCTCCTCACAATATCTCATAATGTGGGGTGTTTTTTTTTTTAATTTAAGGGTGCAGTACAAGGGAAGTTTGGATGTAATTAAAAAGAAGTATACTTTCTGAGGTTTTGCTTAAGAACAAAGTAAACAGCAAAGAACTCTGTCAAAAGGATAAAGCCAAATCCTGCTATCCTAGAGGAAGCTCATGCCTGCAGCCTCCTCTCACCTTAGGCTTTGAAAGGAGGTTTAGCTTGATATCCTTGACTTGGGGATTTTGTCGCCACAGGTCATCTCTGAATCTGAGCAATGGGGAAACAGAATCTGTGAAAACTATGATTGTTCATGATGATGTGGAAAGTGAGCCAGCCATGACCCCATCCAAGGAGGGCACCCTGATCGTCCGCCAGGTACCTGTGTCTCTTCCTTCTGTCGTCAGAGCTGAGCTTCTCCTGTAGTCATTAACCCACTTGCTCATTCACTCACCCATGCTCTTCTACATCGTCATCTGTTTCCATGTTAACACGACTCTGAGGGCAGGGTGTCCTGGGCTAGGGAGGTAGGTGTGCTGCATGCCACCAAGGTAGCCGGTAGTCTTCCACCCCACATTGCTGCTCCCCTGCATGCCTGTGGCAGCCTTCATCCAAGCACCATGCTGAGTTTCACAATCTGTGTTAGAGCGGTAGAAAAGTCACAGAGAGTCTGTGAAGGTATAGATCCGGAGCCTGTAAGAGGGCCACCAGGAGGCTCTGCTGGGGCATCTGGCCCTGAGTGTCTGCAGTATTGCAGGAGTGGGGCACAAGGATAAGCAGGTCTCCTGTGGTCCAAAGTGATTATCTCGATTTGTGATACAAGATGTGTTCTCTTTGGACCGTGATGTTTTATAACTGTTCATTCTTAGATTTCGTTACACTGATAGGCTCCTTATTGACATAGGACAGGGCACTCTCGGCTTTGGGATTTTGCCCTGAGTGTTTTATACCACAGCAGTGTATTTGGATGGAAAGTAGAAAGAACATGAGAAAATCAGGATTCAAAGAAACCACAGGGTACTTTCTAGGAGTAGTTTAGAGAGATTTACTGTGAGAACAAGGGGGTGGTCTTCCGTGCTATTGCTGCAGATGAACCAGGTGAAACACTTGCTACTTGCATTTGGTTGCATTGGGTACTTTGAATTCAATTGGCTCAAATTGGGCTTTTGGCAAGGAAGTTTGAGTGATTCCGGCTAATTTCATTGGATTTTTCTTGATAATTTTGACAGTTTGAAAAGTCACACAGCACCTTGAACAAAGCAGTTATCAGTAGGTTGTCAGCAATGTCAGCAGTGCTTGAGCGAGACCAGTGTGCCTGTTTTTTCTACAGAGTACAGTTGACCAAAAGCGTGCCAGCCATCATGAGAGCAATGGCTTTGCCGGTCGCATTCACCTCTTGCCAGATCTCTTACAGCAAAGCCATTCCTCCTCCACTTCCTCCACCTCCTCCTCCCCATCCTCCAGCCAGCCGACACCCACCATGTCCCCACAGACACCCCAGGACAAGCTCACTGCTAATGAGGTATGTCTCACACCACAGCTGGCTGCTTTCCTGGGGTTAGACCAGCACTGCCTAGGAGCTAGTTTGCAAAGAAGCCCTTCCCAGAAGCCCTCTCCCTCTTCCTCCCCTGCTTTTCTGTCACCTGCCCTCCTCCTCAGTCCCAAGTAACATGTTCAGATCTGCATACAAATCCCTAACCCTAGATGGATCGATTCCCCAAAACTTGCCAGTTCACTGTTTACTTTTTCTAGATAAGTATAGTTGCATGGCTTGCTTTATTCTGTTCATTTTTTTTAAATAAAATGATTGCTGTGTTCTCAGATCCATTACGTATTTGGCATGAAATCCTTGTAGTCATCTGTGGAATTTGCCTCTTCATCCTTTTTATCCAGTTTATAAAATACAGGAAAATGTGACTACATAAACTTGGCCTTACTTGCACAAACTTCTTGTCTTGTGTGAGACTCTCCTTCAAATAGGCATTGATTGTGTTTTGGTTACTGGTTTCATCTGTTTATTTTGGGGAGGGGTTGGTTGTTGGTTGATGACTTTGGTTTCAACCAACCCTTTTAAAGGGATCTTTTTCCTTGATATGTACTCAGGGTTTAAGAAGAAGTCAAGGACTTTGGGGGTAAAATCTAGACAATTATGATGCTAAGCAAGGCCAACGGTCTGAGCTTTCTTCTAATTTAAAATTCTGTATAGGAAGTCCTGTGTGTTTGTGGCATAGCTGTGCTGCTCAGTCTGGGTCATGGGTGGGTGAGCCTTTGTTCTTTAAATAGGTCATGCACAGGTGCAGTGACAGAGCCCACCTTGAGCACCTGCTTACTTAAACAAGTGATTTCATTTCAGTGTGCGGACTTACTGTGTCCATTTGTTTAATAGTTGAGAGAGGTCTAAACATTTAGTTTCAGCTAATCTTGTCAAGTAAACCGCTGATTGACTGCTAGGCAGCAGCAATACTTTGGTTCCCTCATTAGAAAGGATGAGAAAAAGTCTCCTGAGGACAGTGTCAGGCAGCTGCTTTCTCAGCAAATCAGCTTGGCCGCTGACTGACGGGGCAGGGAGAGAAGCCTGTGAGATGGCAACCCGGGCAGGTGGGAAGTCTTAGGGTGGCATGGGCATAGGACATGGTGACTTTCAGGTGCCCCACAGAGGAAGCAAACAGAGAAAAGGCGCTTGCTGGGCTGTATTCTGTCCCCGAGATCTGTGCTTGCACTCCTTGTTTATATCTCACGCACGCTCCATCTTACTGTAACCCTTAACTCACTAAACTGGCAAGTTTTTCTGTTTGGTTTTAATCATCATTACATTTCCACTTAACAACTTGTTTCACTTTCTTTGTGAGCTTTTTGTTTGTTTAATTTTTTGATTTTAAGTTACATTATTAATACCAGTGCTCCTAAAAGATCAGAAGGTCATGCCTATTGTCATTTGTACATTTACTAATGAGCCCCTGTTGTGTGGTATGGGCTTAATGGTCATTCACCTTTTAGCAACATTGCCATTCTGGAAGAGGCTCACTTAAAATAAACAATGAACAAAAGAAGTATTTGTCCATAGTCTGTCCCAATATTTTCTGTCACAGTAAAAAGTAGATCATACCAGTAATCTTTCACAGTACCTAGGAGATCATACCAGCAGTCACCACAGTATATAGGACATCACACCAGTAGTCTATCCCAATAGATAGAAGATCACACCAGTAGTCTGTCACAGTAGATAGGAGATCACACCAGTA